TAAGCCTTGCATTTTAGTTAAGAATGGGCCAAAATTTGATTTTCCCCAAAAAGTGAAATTTGTCATTTTTGGCCAAAATTGAATAAAACTGAGAGGGGTAAGCCTTGCAGTTTGATTTAAATGGCCCAAAATTTGATTTTCCCCAAAAAGTGAAATTTGTCATTTTTGGCCAAAATTGAATAAAACTGCAAGGGGTAAGCCTTGCAGTTTGATTAAAAATGATCCAAAATCTGATTTTCCCAAAAAATCTTAAATTTGTCATTTTTGGCCAAAATTGAATAAAACTGCAAGGGGTGAGCCTTGTATTTTAATTAAAAAGACGGAAAAATTTAATTTTCCCTAAAATCTCAAATGTAACTTTTCCATAATTGAATAAAAGGGTTAAATTAAAAATGGGTCAAAAGCTGATTTTCCTCGAAATCTGAAATTTATCAGTTTTGGCTAAAATTTAATAAAACTGCAAGGGGTAAACCTATTTTTTTTATTTAGAAATGGACTTAAAGGAATTTCAATTTATATCCCTTGCAAAAACAAGATCGTTGGACAATGTAGAAATGTTTTCTTTCCTAAAATGACAAGTGAAATCCCTTAGTTTTTAAAAATAAAACATGACAACGGTTTTGTGAAATCTGACCCAACATTAGTTCCAACAAAATGCTTTATCAAAGAAAAGTATAAAAACAAGCAGAAACTCTTTTATTTGATTTTAATGCTCGATACTTGCATTTTATATCATAAAAGTCAATAGGAATTTTCGCAAAAGTTGTTGGAGTGTGTCAAGTTCACAAAAAATAGGCCAAAAATTCACTACAATTGTTTCCTTCGTGCCAAGCCTTATAAACTGAAGTATTTGTGGAAATACTACAAGTATTTGAAGTGGTTCATCTTAAGATGGTGAAAAACCAAAGTTACATTTAATATATTTCAATACATATATACAATGATCACAAAAAAGCATGGAAAATTAAAAATCACCCAAATAAATTTCATTTCTATTTCTGTCAGTTGGGCAACACACACAACTCCCATTTGAAAGGTATACAGCCACAGAAGAGCACTGTTAATACAAAGTTGTTTGTTTCCATGGCTATTAATACAAGGTAACTACTATAACAAGGTAATTTGTAAAGTCCAAAGGACCTTTTTATAACAGTGTTCTGCTGTATTACAACCCTGGATGTTTTCCAAGAGGAGAGAGTTTAAGTATGATGGAGAAATTAATTATGTACATGTTGATCACTGCAAAACCAAATATGTAAATATTTATGGCATTTACCCTGTACATGTACGTTAGTGTTTGCTGCTATAATGTACTTCCACAAGCACAATTAGACGCCATTACTGCCGGGTGGCACAAAACTCCTGAACAGGTGGTACGCACCTGTTACATGCCTACTCTAGCAATTTAGTTCTGTGAAATGCCAAATGCATGTGCACATTAAGTTTGAGAAGTTAGTCTGTAAGATTCCTGACCATGGAAATATTTGAGCCCTTCAAAATTTTGTATATACATGTACATGTGTAACTGCATAATTAAAATGACGCCATGACGAGTTCCAAAAGTTGAGCAGAAAGTCACTGAATTGAGACAACAGATGCACGGGTCACTAGGAGGGGATGTTGGGGGTGTAACACCCCCCCCCCATCAGTTAGTTAATGTCTGCAAAATATTAGTTTGTTGGCAAAATAAAAAATGAAGAACAGAGAATGAAGATCAAAGGAAAAGGGAGAAAATGACGATTGTAAAGAAATAAAGAATAGTTCACTAGATAGACAGCACTCAACAAGTGTTTATTATTAAATGCACTTTTGAAGCTGAATGCACCTTCAGCCATCTGAAGTTCATTAAGAATTTTTACAGGTGAACCATGGGTGATAGGAGACTAGACATGTTGCTGTTGCTAAACTGTGAGAAAGACCTGACGGAAAGGGTGGATTTAATTCAACTGTTGTGGAAGTGGTCAAGAAAACCATGGCGATGAACAGAAGATGAATTTCATGCTCACAACTCCCATAACTACCGTGAGGTAGATGTCAGGCTATGGAATCAGACTACAGTTCACTCGTTTTGCGTGACTGTACATCGGCAAATTTCATGCGGCACCCCCCCCCATTCAAAATGGTCTAGCGACACCCGTGCACAGATGAACTGTTCCAACTTGTTTTCACAGATACCATTTTGGAATGAAGCCTACGTTACATTCGATGAACACTGCTTTACTTTCAGCTTGCTGTTTGGTGCTTATGTTGTGCGGTCTGGTTACGTTTGATGAATGTGTTAATGAATGCCACTACACCATCCAAACGTTCCTTCTTGAGGAAATCCAGGTAGGTGTCTCGCTCCGAGGAACGGATCAGACTTGGGTGAACCTTTTTACCTACTGGCTGTGTCTGGAAACAGGAAAAAGGAAATTCACGTCAGAAATCTGCCAGGATAACGAGAGAATATGTTTATCTCAAATTTGTGTAAGTGATTCTCTTAAAAATTTAACAAAGCCTCACCCACTTCCTAACAAATTCTGTAACAGCAAACAACTGCATTGCAATGTTTTTGTAGACAGATTGAAACAACTTCCCCATTGATAAACTTGATGAATATACTGGCCTCGCAACCTTCCAAACCCCACCCCTTCCAAGCCCCACCCCTTCCAAGCCCCACCCCCCCTTCCAAGCCCCACCCCCCTTCCAAGCCCCACCCCCTTCCTCAACAAACCTGTTCAAGGAAGCTGTTGGCAAATGGCAACATTGCCATGTGTAGATGGATCGAGAATGCCTCGTTGATGTGCTTTACACCTGTTGTTTGGAGCGAGGCAACCGGGATATCAAAGACTTTTGTCTTATTGGTAGTCAGGAAAGCCTTGTTACGCCAGAGAGCATTGCTGAGATCTAAGATGTACTGGTTGAGTAGCTGGATGCCGTCCCTCATGTTGTTCTACGGACACGAACAGTCTAATAATTACAAGATGCAAGCTTGAGACCCAATGTCGCATTCTAGCGTACCTAACAAGTTTTTTTATACACTAATACTTTACTTTTAAACTCACAGTAAATAAGCTGTCTGAATCTTCAATAGAAACCATCTTCTTCAAGGCCTGGAACTCATCTTTGTAGCTACACAAAATAAACAGAAGGGAAAAAGAATCATTTTTTCTTTAGGAATTTGAAGTAACTCTGATCCATACATTAATTAACAATGTATATGACAGGTAGAGATACATACCTAAGTTTCTGTAGTACTTCTACACAGACTGACTTTAGATCATTCTTCAACAAACCTTCTTTTACAGATTTATCAAATTTACAAGGTTCTGAGGGATGGTAGTAGTGTGGATGTTTTGTGGTAATGATGTCGCCAAATTTCCACAAAAATAGAATTCCCATCAAGAGCAACAAGATGAACTTACTTGCAGATGATTTTACAGACTCTCGAGCAGACCATGGCATTACTTGCAAACAAAGCTCTATAGAAGCATCCAGAGGATGGGACATAGACAAATGGTACTCCATAGCGAAGATGTAAACAGGACACCTGTAATTAACATAGCGAAGATGTAAACAGGACACCTGTAATTAACATAGTGAAGATGTAAACATGACATCTGCAATGAAAAGGACTCAATTATTGTCCACATCAGTCATGTATACAGAGATGTTCTTTTCATGAGGTGTTTTGCATCTCTGTCTCCCGCAAAATGAATACAAATTTCATTTATATTATCAAGATTTCAGCAAAATTAAGTTGTACATGTATAACATGCCCCTATTGACTCAACACAACCAACATTTCCAAATTGACTAAGTTCTTATGTGTAGCACTAAGTACTCTCATGCCTTGGCGATTTCAAATGTCAAACTAACATTAGTTACCACTGTCACCTCTTTTGAAACTCAACATCACCAATAACTCCCAAAATTACTAAGTTCTTCTTAATGAGCAGCACCATTAATTCTCTTAGTTACAGGGAACTCTGTTGAGTTGGCAGTTATGGGAGTTGAACCACAGTCCCTTCAACTGCTGGTCAAGTGCTCCTACCAGGCTTACCAATTCAAAGAATTCCAATACATAATGCATCAGAAGTACATGATCCTTTTCAATGAGAAGTGCCATTGTACTGATTCTGTCCACGTATTCCGTCAGTTCCTGAATGGTGTGCAGGGCCTGGAAATTACCCACATGAACATCAAAGACTGACACCCTGAAGGGATAAACATTACACATTAGACACAACATAACACAATTACACATTGTGGTGCAAAACTCCAGCAAATTGTTAGGACTATTCTTTCCACAGGTCACCAATTATTGTTTGTGTAGTTGTCAGTTTTATGGTACTTGAAATAAAAAAAATATAATGTGTCTTGCTTAACTCCATATTTAAAAAAAAATTACTTTATACATTTTTCTGGTCTTCAACCTAACAACGTTGTGCTCCGCTTTACAACTGAATCTAACTGAATGAAAACTGAACACGTCTCCACTTTAATCACTAGACAGCCAGTGAGACAAATATTCCCATTGGATAGATCAATATTATTTGACACAAATTTTCTCACTGGATAGATCAATATTATTTGACACAAATTTTCTCACTGGATAGATCAATATTATTTGACACAAATATTCTCACTGGATAGATCAATATTACTTGACAGAGTATGCTCTTTCATAAGAGCTAGTATTTTTCTTTGTAACCACAGATTCATATGAATACAAAGAGTTGCAGACTAGTGGCATTTCCAGCCGTTATTAATCTCTTACTGATTCTGTGACAGTTGAGCATCACCAGCTTGGAGAGCAGAAGCCTCCTTGACAGCTTGCATGCAGACTGTGTCTGCATGGCGAGGAAGCTCAATAGCGACATAGTTCCTCAGAAGCTCTGTTAGGGTAAAGATGACTTGGCACTTGAAGAAGACAGAGGAGCAGAAGAACAGAGATCGCAGAGGCTCTAAGACAAGGTCATTCAACTCTGGTAGGAAATAGAAAGGTTGACAAGATGAGAATGACTAACTCATCGAAAAAAACAAATCATGGAAACATATTTCAGGTGGATATGATATGATGGAATTGAGACAAAATTTGGACTTACTTTGGAAGGGGTAGATTCTAAACCTTGTGATGAGTTTCAGGATATATGGTCTGTAATCTGAACCATTCCATGTGTGAAGATATTTCACCAAGAAGTTTTCACTCACTGGAACATCCTCCTAACAGAAATAAATGAACATCTAGTTTACTTTTTGGCTGTATGAAAATTTCCTTTGTGAAGACAATGACCCTCTGTAACTTAAGAACAAATTTATCTATCAATGTGTAAAAGCTCACTAAAGTCAATGTGAAACTGGCCATTTTCTCCCCATATCAATTTTTTTGTAGATATAACTGAGTGTAAGTGGGGTTTTGATTTTATTTGTTTATTCTTAATTATTTATTTCAGTTTTCTTGGGATTGTATTTAATCATTCAACATACTGCTCAATAACAATGCAAAGATGCGTCATCTTTTAAGAAAGCGCAACTATTCTTTATTACTGTAAATAAACCAAATGTTTCTTGACTAACGCAACTTTTACCTGGGGATGATATATTTGAATTTGAACAAATATGAAGATGACAGTTCTTACATGTAGGAAGTCAGTGAAGCTGATGAGCATCTGTAGCAGTCGTTCGGCTCTGGAGTTTGGCACCTCTGAGGAGTAGTCTAGAAGCTCTAGGTAGAGAAAAATAAAACCCACAAAATTATTAAAGCAATGATAAAATCTAAGAATTTCATCTAAAAATACTCCAGAGTCTGCTCTGTCAGGTATTTGCCCAAGACAAACTTTGACAATTACAGAACAAAAGTGTTTTTCACTTAGTTCTTCCTAGGACACAGGGACCTCAAGCTTTGCCAATTACAAATCAAGACTTCCCTCAATTAGTTCTTCCTAGGACACAGGGACCTAAAGGTTTGCTGATTTCAAATCAAGACTCCCCACAATTAGTTTTTCCTAGGACACAGGAACCTTAAGGTTTGCTGATTACAAATCAAGACTCCCCCCAATTTTGTTATACTACCTTCTAATTCTAAATGCAGAACACTGACAGACACAAAAGGTATGAACAGTTTTTAGATTGGGATGGGAAACTGCTGTTAATAGAGGTTATGCGTTAACACGTCCCCAGAGGGTAAGAGATTGTATCACTGGGATAGGCTGGAGTAAAACTTCTGTGCATTCACTGTAAGCTTAATTCATGGCAACTAAATTAAAATAACAAAAAAACAGCCTCTGAGACACCATGAAGATACCAGCGACACCTAACCTTGATACAAACTGCATGAACACGTGTTTCAGGACTGTCATTTCTTTCTCCAAGTTTACCTTCATGAAGCATTTGATAGAGCCAGAAGCTAAGTCTTTGTACAACATGTTGCTCTGTGTGACAGCAGATAGCATGCTGGAGGTATGGTGAATCCAACACCGCAGCAATCTGGCCAGGAAGCTACAAAAAAAACGTAAGCTCATGTTGACTGCCAAGGGTGGATCCAGGAAGGGATGGGGGTCACACGCCCCCTTTTTTCACCCAAGAAATAACTAAAACTAGAAGAAAAAGTAGGAAAGGGGAGAACAAAAGAGGGAGGAGGATCCCGCCCCATAAATGTGACAAAGCAAAAAAAAAGTTCTGCTTCACAAGTCGTAAGGGCTTTGCGCTATCTGCTTGTGGGCATTACACCATTGCTGCCTTAACTCACACACCCCCCTTTGGAAAATTCTGGATCCGCCCCTGACTGCAACACACTCATGACATGTGTTTCAATACAAATGTCTAAGATCTATCCTTCACAATACAATCCTACTAATTCACACCAAGACCTCCAATTTTGATGGCAACAACAGTGAAATCATCTCTGAGAAAAACTCCAAAGTGCTTCTACCTCTAATCTATCCATATTTTTCAGCAGGTCATCAAAAGATTTAATGTGCTGCAGCGGGATTTTGCTGTAATGACTACCGGGCAACTGGTAGCCTGCATCGCCTGAGACATCCAGTGATAGAATTGACGAGGTCACTGACGGGATAACATCCAGCTTCTTCCTCTTAGCTTTCTAAATAGAAAGTACCAAAATAAACAAATCAACCAAAATGTACAGGATGATTGCTCGTTAAGAAACCACTTTCATGAATCAGAGTTGAACTCAGAGGAAAATAAATGTCAAGAAAACAATCACCAGAGATTTTGAAGGTCCCACAGTAACGTTGTGTTTGCTTAAAGATGTTCCCTAAAAGACCATATTCTTGTTTTCTTACCAATCTGTCTACACCCTGTAACCGTTCCACGGCTGATTCAGGTCCATTAGTACGCTGCTGTATTCTCTCCTTGGCCTTATGAACCTCACCAGACCATATCCGATCAGTCTGACGGAAGAATACCCTCTGAGTGGGTGGAGTCACCAAAGAGACTAGATGAGGGCGATACATCTTGTACACAGACAGTAGGCCGGTTATGTAAGGTTGAATGCCCTGGTAAAAAGAATTTGTGAAATCCTTCATTTTTCATGAAAAATTTCACTGAAGACTTTTATGGAGGGAATTACAGCAATCAGAGTTTAAATATTTTAAGACAGAAAGCAAATCAAC